GTGCGCTCGAGAACGTGTATCCTGCCGTTGTGGGGAGGCGGCCCTCCTGGTGCCAGCTCCGTAGCTGGGTCGGCAGTGTTCCAGTCTCAGCGTCCTTACTGATTTTCTGCTTCGTTCTTCTGTAAATTTTTGAGAGACGATTGTTGAAATCTCCAACTCTAGTTATGGGTTTGTCTTTTCTCCTTTCTGTTTGGTCAGTTTTTACTTCGTGTATTTTGAAGCTCTGTTATTTGGTTCTACATGTACATTTAGTGTTTTAGAAAAATAATTTACTCCTTTATCATTATTTCTTTATTTCCCGTAGCACTCGTTGTTCTGAAGTCTACTTTGTCTGCTGTTACTGTGGCCCCCAGCTGTCTGATGGCGAGTTTTGGCGTGGTGCATCTTTTTCCTTTATCTTTCTTTTTCTTCAATGTGTTTATGTTTCTGTATGTAGAGTGCATCTCTTGAAGGCAGCAGATTCTTGCTTTTTTATCTAGTCTGACAGTCTCTGCCTTTTCGTTGCGATAGTCAGACCGTTCAGATTAACCCAGTTAGGGATAGTAACTTAGATAACAGTGTGCTGTTTCGCATGTAAGACCAGAATCCGCACATGCGCTCTGCCTTCCTGCTGTCCTCGCAAGTTTTACTTCTCCACATGATAAGCCTCACATGTTAGTGTTACAGTTTTAGGTCTAAACCGCTGATTTCCGTAAGCAGGTTTTAAAATGTGAGAACCTCTCATAGTCGCTCACACGTCTGTCGTTTCCGGGCCGTTAACCTCTAACGTCTCCCTTCTGCCTGAAGAACTCCCTCCAGCATCTTCCCAGTGCGGGGCGGCCGACGGTGATGAATTTTCTCAATTTTGTTTCCCTGGAAATGTCTTTCTTCACCTCTATTTTCGAAGGATATTTTTGGAGGGTGTAGAAGGTTAGGTTGACTTTAACACTAAAGATGTCCCATTGCCTTCCATCTTGCCTTGATTCTGATGAGAAATGACTGATAATTCTTATCTTTGTTCTTTATGTAAGTGGCTTTATTTGTTTTTGCTGCTTTCTAAGATTTTTCTTTAGCAATTTGATATTTAACAACCATACTGGGTCCTGGTGTGGGTTTCTTGTGTGTATTCTGCTCAGAGCTTATTGAGCTTCTTGGAACTGTTGACTTACACTTTGCATCAAATCTGGAATATTTTCAGCCTGTTCTTCAAATGTTTTTTTCTGCTGCTTTCTCCTTATTTATGGGACTCCAATTACATTTATGTTAGTAGCTTGATATATTCCCATGTCATTGAGGCTCTGCCGATTTTTTTTTTTCCTG